CCTACAAACACGTGAACAGCCTGTGAAGGTTCTGTGTGACGTTGTTCCTACAAACACGTGAACAGCCTGTGAAGGTTCTGTGTGACGTTGTTCCTACAAAGACGTGAACATGCGGTGAAGGTTCTGTGTGACGTTGTTCCTACAAACACGTGAACATGCGGTGAAGGTTCTGTGTGACGTTGCTCCTACAAACACGTGAACAGCCTGTGAAAGTTCTGTGTGACGTTGTTCCTACAAACACGTGAACATGCTGTGAAGGTTCTGTGTGACGTTGCGCTTGACTTGATTCAGAGAACATGCTTGATTTTTTTCTAAACGGATGTAAAACCTCAAGACAACATATCAACTGTTATAGAACCCTGTAGTTGACAAGGAAGAGTGTAAGAGATACAAACTGCTCAGATTAGCAAATACCTGTACTTGTCTACTTGGTTTGAAAGTTGCTAGTTCCAAAAAGCAGTTGTAAAGCTGATTAAAACCAGAAATATGTTGGGAAGAAACTAAACACGTAAATTGAAAAAGACAATAATCTGTGAATGCTCGCTTATAACAGATACCTTAAAGTTCATTAATATTTCATAATGACCCTATGCTCAGAATAGAAGTTCATTAATATTTCATAATGACCCTATGCTCAGAATAGGAGTTCATTAATATTTCATAATGACCCTATGCTCAGAATAGAATAGCTTTTTTGTATACATATAATCTTAAACGTTCTTGTCATGTAGTTTTCCGTTTACTGTGATGCATCAGTTGGAAATGTTTACTAACTTTTTCAATATTTAACTGTTTGGTAAATCTTAAGCTGATAAAACTTTATTTTGCAGGAAACCTGTTTTGGGTCCCTTACAGAATCTCAAGTACGAGGTAAGTTTTTATGTCCTTATTCAAATTATATTATATTTCTCGGTATTTTTTACAACTATGTTTTCAGTCGTAGCCTATTTATTGGTTTCTCTGTTTATTTTTCAGACAATCTGCTATCTGGTTAGAATTTTAACTTTAAAATATATTCAAGGTAAAGAGATGTTGGTTATTGGTTACTTATGTCGCACGCCTGAAAAGTAAACCAAATAATAAAACAACTATGAAAACGGAAATTTGTAGTCTAAGAATGTTTGGACTTCATTGAAAAGTAAACATTGAGGTATATAAAGAAGTAGAAGTTGAGGAGGAACAGCATGCTTCAACTTCTACTTCTTTATATACCTCAATGTTTACTTTTCGTGAAGGAACAGCATGTTAGCGAAAAGTAAAAATTGAGGTATATAAAGAAGTAGAAGTTGAGGAGGAACAGCATGTTAGCGAAAAGCAAACATTGAGGTATATAAAGAAGTAGAAGGTGAGGAGGAACAGCATGTTAACGAAAAGCAAACATTGAGGTATATAAAGAAGTAGAAGCTGAGGAGGAACAGCATGTTAGCGAAAAGAAAATCATGGTTTCATTATGGAAAGAGAGAAGCGGAGAAAATAAAGAGAAAGGGAGAAGAAAGATATGGAGAACTATTAAAAAGGACCTTTGGTGAAAAGGTCCACTAGATTGTTAGTCAACAGTATCAACGGATAGACTAGAGAGTAGGCAGTTAGTCAACAGTATCAACGGATAGACTAGAGAGTAGGCAGTTAGTCAACAGTATCAACGGATAGACTAGAGAGTAGGCAGTTAGTCAACAGTATCAACGGATAGACTAGAGAGTAGGCAGTTAGTCAACAGTATCATCATCAACTCTTGGGCTAGTCTAATCGGATATTAGGATTTGACCGTCTTTCTTACAAAGCACCAATGGCCTGGGCCACGCCCAGACAAGATGAGAAGGAAAAAAAAAGAGGTTTAATTATAATACAACTATAAAACACCCAGATGTTATAAAGGCACATCATAAAAATAACAATCTTAAGAATCAGTCAAACAAATAAAAAATAACTAAAACTATTAGTGTTGTTATTTAGTTGGGTGAGGATCAGAAACACTTGACATGTAGTACCAATCGTCCATCAGAAAGACTTGACATGTAGTACCAATCGTCCATCCTTCTCCCTTGGAGTAAATACATTTTTTTTTTACATTAGATGCACAATCCAAATTGCACTGTTACTTAAACACGTCTAAATTTTATTTGCACATAATTTTTCAAAATTCTTCTTCTCTATGGTAATTTTCGTTCCGTTATAAAATCTTCCAAATTTGAATAAGTTATTTGGAACTACAAGTTACTTTTCTGTTCTGATGTTTTCGTATTTTTTTTTCTTTCTTTTAGATCTAACATTTTCCCCTCTAAGTCTGGATGGTTATGGGTTTCGATTTTAAAGTGACCTTGAGTTATAAAAATAAGTCTTTTTTTTTCTTCTCTTCTTCTTCTTCTTGGCTACATTACCGTTTGTGCCGTGGTTTGGTTAAGTACGGTACCACCCCAGTCAAACTTCCAAATAGATTCACTACACGCAGACTCCTTCTGTAAAACAAAAGTTCATTGTTCGGAATTCCATGGCTCGTTGTTCGCACGTTGCAAGAACCGTTAGACGATGTGACGGCACTATCTATATAACTTTCTCTATCTCCTTACTCGTACAGTTTTCAATACTTTTAAGCTTCAAGGTATTGACGATATACATACAGCCTTACAAAATGCGATTTCTTTTAAGGGGGTGTTAATAAAATTAGAGCATTTGTTATTTTACCAGTATTTTGACAAAGTAAGGAGTTATATAATTAGATGAAAACTGTAAGATAAGAACGTACACCCGCCCCCTTAATTAAGATTAATGGGACTGATGTTTTAAGCATTGGAACTTTACGAGAGACGGTGGTCGTCTAAAAAACATACAGCAAGCAGATACAGCTACAGTATCAGCATAAGCTTAAATTGAAAAAGTACTTAAAAGCTTCACGAACAACAACAAAACTTTATTAAACTTTCAACCACGCCGCTTATGTTAGAATAATTCTCTTTTGCTGGGCAATCCTTTTCTATTTATAGAACATTGACAACTTCACTTGAATTATCAGTAGTTTTTGCTTGCTTTATATAAATCGTCGAGTTTACCTCAGACCCATCGAGGAGCTATCTCTGGTCAAATAAAAAAAAAAATAGTGGATAGTATGACAAAAAGAATAGTTCAATATTTAGATTACACAATAATTATATCTGTGAGTCAAAATGATGGCTTCTGAAACTGGTTCTACTTTAGTCTGCTGTATTAATATGTTAAATAATTAACATCGATTATTTCAAAGCAACTTCTAATTGAAAAATGTTGAAAGCATGTATTAGGTCTTTCAAAATCATTTATACAATGATGCCCGTACTAAATTTGACTTATTTTCTCTTTCATATATTCAGAGCTCAAAGCTGCGTTTGGTTTGCTTGACAAGAACCAGGACGGTCGGGTGAATGCCAGTGAAATAAAGTGTATGTTAGACAATCTCGGCATATGTTTGACGGATGACATGGTTCATCATCTTGTTCAACAAGCGAGTAAAAGAGGTCAGTTTAATATAAAGTGGTACATTTAACATTTTACACACGATAACCAGCTAACTTTTGACTAATCATCCAGAAGACGAATATTTACAGTTTTTATTAAATGCTCACAAAAACTATTGTTAGATACATTTATAATATTTTAATTTAGATTCTTGTTTGCTAGAGGGAACTAATCATTATGATGATGTATGATGTAAATATTTCATGTAGTATGTAACTATGGAGAATGATATAAATGCCAGAGTGAGTGAGTGAATCAGTCAAGTATAAAGTGTATCGGGTAGTTAATCAATCAGTGAAGTAGTGAGTTAATGAGTGAATTAGTCAGTAAGTCAGTCAGTAAGTTATTCAGATATTAAGTTCTATGATTCAATTAGCAAGCTAGATAGTGAATAAGATAAAATTTTTGCTATTACCCCATTAGCGAAAAATTATGCAAGTAAGTTTAAAAGTAAATTAGGCACACATTAGTATCAGAATTTGTGTTGTAAAATGTTTGGGAAGTTAGCCTTACAAGTGAACATAACCTGTAGCAAACATTAAAGAAGAAATATATACTAATTTGTTGTTCTTGCGTGGACTGGATTTGGCATTACTTTCACTAAATAATTCAAAAGATCCCGCGCAATGATAAAACACGTTGCAACACCATTGTACACCGTCCGTCACTGGGCTTAACCTTCTATTTAGTATTCATTGTCTTGATAATTCTTCTTCTTCTTTTTTTACTGATCACTTAAACTCCAAATAAAGCAGTTTTATGTTGAAAAAAAAAACGTACTATTTTAAATACATTTTTCTTACAAATATTTATGTAAAAGAAATAAAAAATACTCTTTTATCTGGAAATGTATACCCGATCTATAACGCTATAAAAACACGGACCCTTTCTAAGCACATTAGTTTTTCACTGAACCATATAAACAGCTTTTTTTTTCCTTTTAGAGAATTTTTAGGCTATGAAAGACTTTGGAAACTACTTTATATACACTTGAAAACAGTAAAAGGAAAATTCAAATAAATGATTCGTGACAAACCTCCTGGCTTATCTTGTGAGCAAAACAGTAAATACAGAATTACTGTTGTAAACTACATTTTCAATATTATAATTTAGTTGTTTACTAGTGAGAGCTGCTAATCACGATTATGATCTGGCAATACCCAGAATGTTCGTGAATATTAATAACCGAGAAACTTCGTCTAATATCGAGAAACAAGAGTACATTATGAATACGAGTAGGAAGTTAACGATAAGTCAGTGAGTATTGAATGAGCAGTTAGTGATTCATTGAGAACTCAGGGAAATATTCAACGAGTATAAATAACTTTAATTGTTTACGTACAACCTTAATGAATCTTTTAAAGATATAAACTTACTTTGCTCCAGCCTAATTCTCATACCCTCCTCTATTATGGCGTCTATAAATTGCTCATGTGTCAAGGAATCCATCATCTCACGAGACGCGTCAGGTAAGATAACTGAGCAAGCCTTTCCAAATCTTCTGCAAGTTTGGCTAAGGTCTCTTCTTTCCATCATACCCTGTTCCAGAACTTTGATCTGGCTACTTCTTTCTAGTACATCACTCCAAACATGTTGGATAAGGTGGTCAACAATGCTTGATAGTTGTCATGACTCTCAGCTGGAAGGTTACTTAACGTTTTCAAAGTTGGTTGTTTTAAATAAGCAGCAAGATTGATAGCTTGTTGTTTACTACTCCACCATTTAATTCTGGAAATGATTTCAAACTGAGCTTGATACCTTCTCATTATAGTTTCTTGGTTTCTCTACTAGTCGATGTTAAGTTGGACATCTAAATTCTGGAACTGGCTTTAGTAATGTAGTGACTGGAGTAGTCCAGGAAGGTCTTTCAGTAACAGTTGGTACAGGAATAGTGATAATAGGTGTAGACCTGTAGTAGATAGTGTTTGGGTTGGAACTTTTGAGCCGATGCAGAAAGAAGTGTAGCTGGCTTAGTCTTTGCATTTAGTGATTTATTTTCCAGATGTTTTATACTATCACTGTTTTTTTTTTTCTATTTCGTCCATTTTGCCATTAAAACCTTGCTGTTCTTCTTCAGTTTTACCATTACAGCTTCTCTATACTTCTTTGATGCCCTTTTACATTTCTTCAAACATTTTACTGTAATTTCTTTGTACATTTCCAATAAACCCATCAACCATGTCTTCAATTAGATTTACTTTTTATTTTAATTCTTCCTTAAATAATATGCCTCTCAACTCCTTAAATTCCTGTCATTTGATCACTTTTCAATTTTTTTTGGCATTCTTTTGATTTTCTGTCTCGTTCCTTTAAGTTTCGATCTCTTTCTTTGTCGTTCTTTTAATTTTTCGTTTCTTTCTTCCAATTTTCTTATCCCTTTCTGTCCACCATCTCAACTAATTCTTGAATCTCATTACTTGACCTCGTGGTCGCCATCTTCAACAATTGAGATTCTATTTTAAGTATATTCCAAATTTTATTTTCCCCAAAAATAAATCTCACATCTGGTACCAAATGTTGTAAAGTAGTTCTTTTTTTTTTTGAGGGTCCTCTCAAATTATTAGGTGAAAATACTTCGACGTCCAGTGCAGTAACAGCTACAATTAGTTTATTTCCTTCTTTAAAGCTTAAGTTTAACTTTATTACAAGCTCAACACTTTGTAACTTTTAGAGATACGTTTACAACCACGTTAAGTGTACTACACACAACATAAACAAAAACTAACTTGTACTACGTTGCGCGATAGCAAACATTGACAATAACTCTCTTTTCTAAAATAACTCTTTTATCTCACATAACTACTACTCTCGAGGCTTTACTGACCCGTTTATATAAATTAGCTTTGTTCTAGAAAGTTATATGGCTTACGTGAACTTAACGTCACGTTACATGATCAAAAATTAACAACTCCCTCTAGCTAAAAAACAAATTACAACATTAAAAATATAGCTTACAATACTATTGATTCGTATTTCGTTTAAAAAATAAACTATTTTCATAATTATCGTGGTAGTTTTCTGGCTGCCAACGAATGTGGTCATTTTATAATAGAACGTTCATGCCCCTTCTTGAAGCCTCGAGAGGTTACAAGATATGCGGTATTCTTGTATATAAGCCGTCAATAAGTGACGGCAACAATGGAATGTAATTGAACTGCGGACAGAGAGAGACGTATTGTTAGGTCGAGCGCGTGTGTCGTTTGTTGTGAATTATAGGGTTTGTTTAACTTATAGTGTGACCGTTGAAATTAAGTGAATTTCAAAGTTGTATTGAGAAAGAATAAACTAGTCTTATTTAAGAAAGGACTTATTTATACGGGAAGTTAACTAACGACCACAGACGTAACAATATCTTTATAATACAAGTTCTTACCACTGCTAATGTTTCATCAAATAGCCCCCAGTGGCACAGCGGTATGTCTACGGACTTACAACGCTAGAAACCGGGTTTCGATACCCGTGGTGGGCAGAGCACAGATAGCCCATTGTGTAACTTTGTGCATAAATTCAAACAAACAAACAATTCATCAAATATCGAGATTTTTCAAACTTTTTTTCCTTCGGATTTTCATGAGGTGAACTGTTCTTATTTCATAACCTCGATCAACTGTTGCTAGAAATGATATGGTATAAAACAAATAATGTTTGTACTACATTTTATTTTTTCAAATTACAATCACAATCTTCTTCGTAGTTTCATGCGCATATTAGATACTATGACAATTAAAGAAATATTTTACACTAATTGAAGACACGTACAGTTAAAGGTATGTTTTACTAACCCTATTTATATAGTCACTCTAACAATTGATGTTACGTTTTTCACTGATCTTAGAGACTCATAACAGTTGCAGGTGTATTTTTTACTAACTCGAAACAACATCAGAAAAGGTACACCTAGGCTTTCCTTCTTTGTCAACTCTAAATGTGTGATATTCTCCAAATTGTTTTAGAAGCTATGAAATAGCTTCATCTATTTGCTTGATGATCACATATTACATAGGATACATGAAATTTTAGTTAAATTTTCACAAGTTTCCTTTTTTAATTTTACAGAAGACGGCCTCATAAGTGAAGATGAATTTTTGTCTTGGATGGCCCATCACCAGAACTCGATGAAAGATGACGTCATGGAAGATCTTTTGGCTGCCTTTAGAGTCTTCGATAAAGACAGAAATGGTTATATTACACGAGTAAGATTTACTATAATTCAAATACACCATTACTGTTGAACTCGGATGTTAATGAATTACACACCAGTTTAATCCAGATTCGTAAGACTTACTCGTTATAATATTTCCATATCACTTCTCTAAATAACGGAATTAGCCCAAACACACTATTCTTATCCATTATAAACATTCTTGTCAGTGAATAAGTAATGACATTAAAATACACACTTATTTCTCATCCATTAAAATTATTCTTATGCTCACCAGAGTAGGTGCCTCGTTTGCTAATGTAATGTGTGTTTCCAATGATCAATCGAAAATTTCGACGTATTATTTTACAGTTTGAGAAAACAAGCTCCCAGGTGGCATTAGGTGCTATTAGTGCTGAAATGAAATGAAATGTTTTTAATCTTGTAGGCCTACCTAGGATAGAAACGATATACTAAGATGTTTTCTGACTAAGTTGTTTCAGAACATTAAGGCATTAGTATAAAAGAAAAATACCTGGCTAAAGATTATTCCATTTTCATACGTATAACTGAAGCTTATTTTTGTGGGAAAACATGCACTAAAATTTTAAAACATTAGGTCGAACTAACTTCTAAAACAGCTTAAAGAAACTATTTTAGAACGGATTTTATGCTTAAAAGCAAATAGTAACCCACAAATGTTTACTTTGTGCTTAGATGTCGTGTAAGCTAGAAAGAGGTTAAAAAAATGCCTCTCTTATCTCGACTAAACTGCTCTAGAGGGACCTTCCGTAAATCTCCGCGCTTGGGAGATGACGAAAATGTGGCACCCCCAGAAACATTTAACCCGGAAAGAGAAAAACGGAAAAGGATTACACTCTTTGTGGGTCTCTTCTTCACCTCCAGAAATGAGCCCTACTTTAAACATTTCAAGACGTAATCGGTATTTTGGACATTTAAATTTTTGGAAATGACCTCCTAACATTCTCTACTCACTTAAGGTGGCATAAACAATTTTTATTATGTTCAAACATAACTACATTCAACAGCGGCCTCATTATTTCCAACTGAGAAATCTCCTCTAACAGGTTCTTTCGAGATGAAATTTATGCAATTAACGCTCTTTTGAGCGTGAAAAACTATTTACAGTTATAATATTAACGTTAAAAAAGAGAATTGATATCACTATCGATATAATACTTCCATAAGTATAGCTATTTCCCGTTTCCTCATCATAGTAATGCATCTTTTCACCGTTACTTTCATAGGATGAATTACGAGTTGCTATGGAAATGATCGGTGAACACATGTCTGACGTGCAACTGGATGACATGCTTAAAGCGATAGATACTGACAATGACGGGAGAATTAACTATGAAGGTATTGTATTGACTTTATACAGTTCAAAACACGGAGAATATTTCTGAAAGATATGTTATAATTTATCCCAAACAAATATTGAAGTTTTTCTTTGTTTTATTCAGAATTTGTTCGGATGTTGCTGTGAGAAGACGATGAGTTAGACTCCAGGTATTTTGGAAACGCAAGACTGGCATCGTTAAATCCAATCTGTCAGACCTTAGAGAAGATATCTGATATGGTTAACCTGTGGAGTTTTTTATTTTTTTCTAGCTCTAAACTTACGGCATTATAAAAACCTCAATACGTACGGTAGAATATTTGTGTGCTAATTATTTATGTGTCTCAATACAACACCTTTACTTGATCTCTATTTAACAGTTTGAAAACACTACTGTTCAAGTAACTTAGTGATTAGTACAAAGTGTAGCTACTTAGCCCGTGATTGCTTTGTTTGGTTTTGACAAAATGTCTAAATATGTGCAAAAAATAAATCTAACACAGATTTAGAAACTATATATTTTGCTAGATAAAATACGTACTAGCAAAAACATTTCTTCTGTTAACAAATGTATTAATTTTTTGGATATTGACCTAATTGTAAATTTTACAAATGTGTACGTTATAGCAGTGTTTAAAAAAAACGATATTGTGTACATATATTTCAGATTAAAACAACTTTTCGCATAAGGTGGATGTTTATTTGTATAAATCGTTTTATATTTATATATGTCAACAGGTAGCGCTAGCTGAGATGCAGGTACGCTTCGAGTTTCTATATCATTGAGAATATTTTTTATTCTGCAATAACCGTACTTTTTAATACTTCAAACTCAAGCGGGTAATTTTTTGTGAAGAGTATTATATGTCACAGTGTTAAAAAATATGTATAGCACTTTAGTTAATCCTGTTAGAAAAAAACAAATAACTGCATTGTTGGTCAAAATAAAAAAGAAATTAGTAGTCAGTGGTTTGAAGTGATATGTAAATAGTTGTGTGTTAATTTCAATATTAACACTAATAAAAAATTAGCAAACTGTTAATGTATTAATTTTTGCTATTTATTATAGCCAAGACATACTAGTACTTGTCCTTCCTGATAGAAGTTTGTTTAATTGAAAAAAAAATATCACTTTTGATTGTGGTAATAGATTATAAGGTAGAGCCACCTTTTTTGTTTTTCGTACTTCAAAAAATTGTAAACATTTAAAGGAAATATTAATTTTTCTACCATAAAATAATTTGAAACTGATCTCGTGAACATCCTGTCATATGTGACTATTTTTATATAATCGGACAGATGGCGTAAAGATCCTAGTTACGGGAATTAGCTGTATTCTAATTTGACCTCCAGACAATTAATTTAATATAAAAACGTTTACCGAAATTGTCACAATTTTTTATTGTCAAAACTACGTTGTTATAAAAATGTAACTCGGTTCTTTAAGCCTAATTATTAAGAAAAATGTATCTGAAGCAAAAATTTTATAGCCAAAAGTTTTATAAAAATAATTAATTGACACTTCGCTGTAATCATCCGTCATCGACTTCATAAAAATAATCGTTGGGTTCATGTACAGTTATTTGGTTTAGTAAAGGATTGTTAAAAAAATTAATTAATGCATTTTATTTTACACGTATATATCTGTAATACTTTGTTTATGTATGTGTTCTAAGACGCAGATCACTTTTCGATGAGGTTTTGTCCTGTTCAACTAACATGTTTGTAGCACTATCTACCTATACTTTTCCTTTTTACACGGTTCATATAAATTCTCAGATTTTAATTATTGCAAGTTACTCGGCAATATTTAGCGTATCACATTTATCCTGAATTATGAGATATTTAATTAACACAGGAAATTATGTAAAAAGTTTATTATTCACAAAGAAAAAAAAACGTTTTCGTATGAGGAACAAATTCACTTAACAAATCTATCTTTTCTTCTGGTTGTGTAGATCTTTGTACATTATGCGCAAAATTACTTTGGTTGATTATTTTTTAGTGCTTATTGAATGCTGAGACACAATTAATAACAACATTATGTACAAATCCGAATAAAAGTGTTGACGAATCTGGATCACTCTCAAGATCCAAAAGTGGTTGATTATTTTTTAGTGCTTATTGAATGCTGAGACACAATTAATAACAACATTATGTACAAATCCGAATAAAAGTGTTGACGAATCTAGATCCCTATCACTCTCAAACTCCAAAAGTCGTACTATTTGCAAAGTTGCCTCTACTGTTGTAGAAAGTTTGTTTCTTATTATTTGCGTAAACCTGGTTGTGGAAACCTTGGACAAAACCACACCAGAAAATATTTAGATCAGAAAGTTTTAGGCTTGTCATCTGAACAGCTCTGAAATAAGAAGCAATTTAGATGGTGTTTGATCATTTTCAGCATATTCGTCAAGTCGAACCCTATAAAAACACCCTAGGCAAAATAAGGAACGAATCGCGTCCGTTCTTATCTGAAACAGAACGTTACATTTTACTACTGAATAAGAAACAATTTCGTAAAATACCTAACATGTGGCAAGTCCCGTAGATTCCCATGCTACAATTATGTATGGTGTACCTATACTTCATAGAATAGCAACAGACATAATCATAGCTTGACAAAATGTTATGAACAATACACGAATGATAAATTCAGAGTTAAAAGGTAGTTATGAGCTTTTTTGGTTACTTGTAGAAAATCTATAATTATGTTGAAAATTGTGCTTGTTGTATATTCTCTACGCCATTGCTTCTTCAACAACTTTTAGATTTATGTATTTAGTTAGTATTTTCTTTTCCCGATATTTGTAAGTAGTTTTTCTAGATAAAGAAAGGAAAGATGTGGTATTCTATAAGCATCAGTGATGTAACAGTTGCTGTCAAGCGTGATTTAGTAATATTTTTGAAGTTATTGTCCTTTATGAATAAAAAATAATATAGCTACTTATTTTTATTTACTTATTTCTTAAGTTGCCATGATATGTTTATTTGTGCTATGCCCACCACGGGTATCAAAATCCGGTTTTTAGCGTTATAAGTTTCAGACTTACCAATAAGCCACGATGAGAAACGATAACTTGACGGATATCCCGTTGATTTTATAATTAAATAATTAATTACGGAGATTGTATTGATGGAAGGTTCGTATGAACATGATTAAGAATGATCCTTTTTCGAGATTTACGACATAAATATTTTATAAGAATCAATAATGCATTGACAGCATAAGTGAAATCTACAACAACTTTATTAATACTATATTTCGTAAAGCATTGAATATGGTGATACTTCTTATGAAACTTGTTATAATACAACTAGTATAAAAGCCAGTCAAAAATGACTGGAAACTATTGTTGAGTGATTAACAAAAATTATAGAATTTATGCAGAAGCGTCGAGAGCCAGCACAGGCCCCCTTTATTTCTCTTTGTTAACATTTTGAAGAACTTG